ACTACAGAGAGCGCCCCTAAGTCCTGTCGCCTGGCCGGCGGGAAGCGCTCCTACAGCAGGGCTCTCGCTAACTGCGCTAACAAGGGGACGCCTGCCACGCCTCCTGGTCCCTCGCAAAGACCAGCACAGGGAGGAGCCGATGCCAGCCATGTGGCCCTGAGCAAACCCTCGAGATCACTCGTCAAAGTGACTGAATCAGTGTGTCCACAGGAGCCCTGGAAACAGGAAACGCCCCCATGTCTACCAGCACAGGTCCCCAGGGAGGGTTTCCCAGAGACCAAGACTGTGATCACAGCCTGGCCTGGCACAGGACCCCCTTCCGACGCCAGGTCCCACCCAGGGACGGTCGCCCCCGGCCACCAGAGATCGGGGCCTCTCGACCACACTGCATCTCCATGATCCGCCTACTTCTGGGCCGGCCGCGGCTTGCCCTCCCGTCCCTGCTGGAGCTGCAGCCCACCCGCGGCCCACCCGCTGCCCACTGCCTCACTCAGACACCCCAGGTGACTCGAGCCCTCCAAACCGCCTGCCCAGAGCCAGCATTCTGAGATGGTCAAATGCTCTCAGGTTCAGAGGTAAAACCAACCAAGGCCAGTGAGACCTCTCCTTACATCTGTAAATACCATCCTCAAATCAGGGGGTGTGATGGAGGTTTAACATGGGGTAGAAGGGCCCCGACCCCACATGCACGTGGGTGCATGGGCCTGGGTCAGGGCGTCCACAGGGCTCGGTCTCAATCACAAGGCACCTCTCGGATGCAGCAGGTGGGGCCCCTCTGCCCACACATAACAGGCTGGTCCCACCTCAATTCTGAGAGCAGAGACCAGGAAGCCCAGCACTGGGCTGCAGACGGAGCAGCTTACCAGGACGTGTCCGGAGAGGGAGGCAGCGTTGGCCACCGACGTGGTGAAGACGTTGTCAGCCGAGGCGCCCACGTTGGCCACTGTCACAGTGGTCACCTCTGCAACACAGGAGCCTGACTCAGCGCCTCGGAGCCCGAGGCCTCGCACCCTCTGCAGCGCTCTCGGGGCGCAGGAGTCAGCACCGCCCACACTTGCCCAGGAAGGCCTGATCAACATTTCCGGGCCAGTCTGAATGGTCTAGTTCTTCCAGAAAGAGGCAGTTTCTGTCTCCAGGAGAGACTCCTGCTGCAGTGAAAGCCGCCAGGAGCCCTGCTCCCTGCACCTGGTGGGCCTGCCCGGGGTCCCCAGGCTCCGCCAAAGCTCCGGCCTCTGCCCCTCTGCCCCCAGCCCCTGCCCCTCTCACCCTGGCCCCTGCCCCTCTGCCCCCCTTAGGAGAGAACCATGCGCATCCTGCAGCAGACGCCCCCAGGCGCAGCAGCGCCACCTGCATCTGCCCTCCCTGGTGGGGACACCTCCTGACCTTCTCCCTGGGGGGCCCTGCCCCCCTTCACCCTACATACACCAACAGGTGACTCACCTGTGTCCCCAAGCCCCCGCAGCACCCACACACTGGTGAGCTGCACCCCACCTCCCCCATGCTTCCCCTCCCACCTCTGAGCCACCAGTCACCCCCAAGCCTACCCTCACCCGTGCACTGCCCACGCCCAATGCCCATGCCACTCGGCTCAGGCACCACCTCTGGAGAGCCCTTCCAAAGAGGGGAGCAGCGCCTTGGCCAGGCAGTGGCCCTCGGGTCACACAGCATTCGAGAGCATCCTGTGCCCAGGGCTTCTCTGGGAGGTGCTCTGACAATGCTGCCTGAAAGACCTCTGCACATTCCTTCAACCCACCCCCACCAAAGTGACCTGCAGACCCCTGTCCCCATCCGTGTCCACTACCAGGCCACAGGCCACTGTCCCATAGAGCCCGCGTGCAGAGGCGCCCCCTGTCTGAACACACACTCAAGTCTGAAGACCACGCAAGCAGCCTCTGCCCAAGGAGACAGCCTCAGAGACCACCTGGAAGCTGCCGGACCTTGGCAGCTCCTAACAGGAAGTTTCCCCGCTTCAACACACACAAAACACAACTTTAAAGTTTTGCAGAAAAAACGTAACGTCAATACACCTTTCTGATGTCGTGATGGGTGATGACATCACATTTCTGAACTTGGAAAAGTACATGTAAGAAGGACAAACACCTGAAGGAAAACTTCATAGTGCAAAATCCCAACATTAACCCAGAGTTCAGCAACGGAAACAACCCTCTGAGAGCCACAGACTCTTCCCTTGCTTTTCTGAGGACTCCAAACAGACCACTCGAAGACCACAGGCACTGGGCCCCCACACAGCCTCTAAGGGGCTAACTGGCCACCTAAGGGAATGCACAGCCCATTTACCCTCACACACACACACACACACACACCCCGAGACCACACACACAGGGACCACACACAGGGGACCAGACACACCAAGAATACAAACACCAGGACCACACACGCCAGATCACACACCCTGGGACCACACACACCAGGTCACACACACAGGAACCACACACGTGCCTCAGGTGTGACAATAATAAGATGCTCTCCAAGGGTTCAGGCACTCAGCACCAAGTCCTTGAGGAGCCTCCAGCTGGGAAGGACCAACCCTTGGGAAAGTCTTTATCTTCTTTGGGACATGGCCTGGGACTACCTCTGAAAGACATTGTGGGCCACTGCCTGAAGCTCCATGGGCCACAAAACTTGAGAATAAGAATGTCCTGTGTCAAAAACCAAAATGTGCCCTGGCCGGTTTGGCTCAGCGGTTAGAGCGTCGGCCCGCGGTCCAGAGAGACCCGGGTTCGGTTCCCGCTAAGGGTATGTACCTCAGTTGCAGTTTGTCCCCGGCCCTGGCTGGGTCATGTGGGTGGCAGCCACTCGATGTGTCCCTTTCACATCGATGTTTCTCTCTCTCTCTCTCTCTCCCTCCCACTTTATCGGAACAAAAAAAAAAAAGGGGGAAAAATGCCCTCAGATGAGGATAAAAAAAACAAAATGTGGGCCAGCAGTCTGTGCCAGCCTTCCCCTGGAAGGGAGCTTGATGGAATGCCGTCGGGAGAAGGGGAAATTCATGAAAAGAGAAAGCAGAAGGGAAAAGAGAGGACGGGTGAAGGACAGACAGGCAGCTGACCTCTGGCATCACTGCCCCAGGGCCACCTGCCTTCAGCTGGGTAACCACTGTCTTGCTCTCCAGCCCTCAGGTCACACCTGAACTGGCCCTTAGAATTCAGGATAACCAGACATGCCCACCTTCAGGCTCCTCCTATAAGACAGGATCCATGCCTGCTCCCCACCCCACCCCATCATGTCACATGCACCCAGGACAGGCAAACATGGGGCAGGTGCTGAGGAGTTTCAGAAAGAGCACAGAGTGCCGAACAAGACGGGATGGGCTGGCGCAAGGAAAAGGGGTCCAGGAAGCAGGTGTGCAGGAAGGACAGGGCAGGTGTGCAGGAAGGACAGAGCACACAATGTAGGTGTGAGGCAGGAGCCGGGAAAGTGAGTGGGCTGGTGCTGGGGCTGTGCAGGGTAGGTGCATGGGGAGCACTGGTGCTTAGGGCAGGTGTAGGCTGGTCTTCCAGGTGTGTGCAGGGCAGGCACAGGGGCTGTGTGCGAGGCAGGTGTGGACTGGGCTCACAGAGCAGGTGCATGACTGGTTGTGCGGGGGCTTGAGGGGGTTGTGCGGGGCAGGCTGGGCCAGGTGCCTGCTTGAGTCAGGTGCTGGCTGGGCGTGCGAGTTATGTGCAGAACAGGTGCACCCGCGGCGCTGATGCGGGCAGGTCGAGTGCAGTGTGTGTGAGGGGCAGGTGCATGCAGCGCAGGTGTGGGCTGGCCGTGCGGAGTATGTGCGGCACAGATGAGGGGCAGGTCGTGCGGGGGGTGTGTGCGCTGGTACGCGCGGCGCAGGTGCGGACTGGTCGTGCGGGTGTGTGCAGGGCCGGTGCGCGCGGGGCAGGTGCGGGCGAGCGGGCGCGGGCCGGCGGCACTTGCCTGCAAAGGCGGCGGCCGCAGCAGCCTCGTCGGGGCCGGGAAGAGCCTCGGTGCCCATGTCCATGTGCCTGGGCTCAGCGGCCATCACCGCCACGGCCGTCACCCGCCGCGTCTCGCGCTCCGCCTCGGATTCCCCGTCCTCCTCCGAGTCCTCGTCCCTGTTGAGCCCCGGCTCCTCGGCCTCACTTCCCGCCGCGGCCGCGGCCGCCGCCGCCACAGCGGCCGCGGCCGCCACCGCCGCCGCCTCGGCCAGGCCCAGCTGCTTGGCGGCCGAGTCCGAGTCCTCCATCCGGACTCCGCCGAGCCCGCCCGAAGGCGCCGGCCGGGGCCGCCCGAAGGCCGGGACGGAGCCCGAAGCGCGCTGCCCGAGGAAGGCCGCCCGAACCGAGCCGAGCCCAGCCGAGCCGAGCCTAGCCTGGCTCAGGCTGCCCGAGCCCAGCCGAGCCGAGGCCGCCCGAAGCCGCGCGACGAGCCGAGCCGAGGCCGCCCGAGCAGGGGCCGAACCGGCACGAAGCGGCCCAGTCGAGCGGAGCCGACGGCCTGGAGTCCGGAACCGAGGAGGGCCGAAGAGGCCCGAAGTGCGGAGCCGAGGCGGTCCGAACGGGTACGAGGCCGCACGAGGCTCTCCGAGCGCTCTGCGCTGCCCTCCTCAGTGCCTCGGAGGCCGCGCCGGCCGTCGTCCCCGGCCCCAGGTCGCCGACCGTGGGGTCGACACTCGCCGGCCTCCGACGCAGCGCGGCCAGGCCTGGGGAACCTCGCGCCACAGGCTCCGCCCGCCCCGCCGCGAGCTGGAGCCGAGTCCGGCCGAGCGGGGCCGAGCGGGGCCGAACGGAGCCGAATGCTCCCGAGCCCGGGTCTTCTCGGCCTCGGCTCCTCGCCTGCGCCTGTCCGAAAGTGCCCGAGCGCTGCCCGACCGACGAATCGGCCCTCGGCCGCGGCTCGGAGTCAACTCTCGAAACGCGGCTCGGCGGGGCCCCTTCGGGAGCAGAGGCGAAAATGGCCGAAGGGACGCGAGCGGCGCGGAGCCGAGAGGCTTCCGGGATCGCGGCGGACTCGGTGGGCGGGGCCGAGGCAAGATGGCGGCCGCGCGGCGAGGTGAGGGCGCGGCGGGCCGCGCGCGGGGAGCCTCGGGGTCCCGGGCGGGCGCGGCGGCCGCCCGGGGGTGGGTCGCTGTGGTTTGGTTCTCGCTGCGGCCGGACGGGCCACCAGCCCGGCGTTCGCCTTTGCGGCGCCGCGGGGAGCCCGGGTGCCGGGTCTGCCGCGCCGCCCGGGTTGCACGAGCCCGCAGCCCCGTCCTCCTCGCCGGCTGCGTGGACGGCCGCGTGGGGCGCCGCCCGCGCTGCCGGGGCCACGGGGCCTGGGGTGCCGGCGGGCGGGGTGCCGGCGCCTGTGCGCTCGGCCGGGGGGCGCGGGGGGCGCCGCTGCTGCCTCCTCTCCTGCCTGCGCCCCGGGAGTGAGGCCGGGTCGCCGGTGTCCCGTCCCCGGGCCGGGGTGGCCGCCGGCCTCTCCGGCCTCACCGCTGCCCTTCGCCTTCCAGGGAGCGCGTCGTCCACGGCCGTATCCTGCTGCCGCAGCTGCTGCCACCCCCGCGGGGGAAGGCGAGCCCCGCACTCGGAATGCACGTAGGGTCGTTGTAGCATCAACAAGTGCGGCGTGTGCAGAGCCCAAGAAAACTCCCCAAATGAGAGAAATGCCTTTTATTTCAAGAAAACAAACCCTTTTTCTCTCTCTGTGTTGTGATCGGGGCCGTGGTCAGGGCGACGCCACCCGAAGGAGCCCAGTGTACTGAGCTGTCCCGCCTGCGGCCCCTAAGGGCCTGCGGTGCCCGGTTCCCCGGCTCCAGGCCAGGGTGTCCCTGTGAGGGGAGCTCTCAGCCCTGCCCTCGATTCCGGGGGGCCCTGCCGCTCCGGGGATGCCAGGGCCAGTGTCAGTGGGTGCCTGGCAGCAGGACCGTGGCCACCCTGTGTGCAGGGGCTGATCGTCTCCTCTTGCCCGGCCCAGGGTGGGCACCCGGGGCGGCGAGGCTACTGGGCTGAGTCCTTAACCGCCTCCCAGCTCTCGTCAGTCCCTCTGCAGATGCTGCTCTGTCTCAGTGGGACCTATTTCGCCCTTTATTTCCTGGCCACGCTCCTGATGATCGTGTACAAAAGTAAGTCGTGAAGGGAGAGCAGGTGGGGCTCTCGTTGCGGCTCCTGTAACCTGAGCTCGGGTCTGTTGCTCGTCCTCTCCAGGTCAGGTTTTCAGTTACCCTCAGAATTACCTGGTCCTCGACCTGACTCTGCTGTTTCTGATGGGGACCCTGGAAGCAGCCCAGCTGTACTTTGGTGAGTTGACTCGACTGGAAATCATCGGTACTTAGGATGACAGACTGCTGGCTGACCGTTGTGACTCCAGACAGGCCTCATTTATGTCGGGGCTCTTGGAGACACTCGATGTAAGTGTCTGTGGGGTTCACCTTACAGCGTCATTAAGTATTCATTCATTCATTGAGAAGCTTTGTCCAGAAGACGAGTGACACGGTGGCACCCTGAGAGAGAGGCTTCCTGTTGGAAGCATGAGCCACTGGGTAACACCACTCGTCAGTGCCAAAGCACTCAGCCCACCCCTGCACCCGGTCCGCAGCCTCAGCGTCTGTCCTGCCCCCAGGCCCTGCGCAGCGTGTATGGGAGCACTGCCAGCCCTCTGCCCTCTACCCCTCCCCAGCTCACCTGGAGGGCCCGCTCTGCCTGCTCATTCACGGGCAGGCCCACTCTCGCCAGCACTGCGATCACTGCGTGTTCGGCCCGCACCTCGGGGGGCCACGTCCTGTCCAGCTACACCGGACTGGCCGAGGGGGGCAGAGGGTAGACAGAAGCATGTCTCAGCCATCCTGCTGAGTGTGCTGGGCCTTAGTGTCCACTGTCACAGACCGGAGCCATGCCATGGGCACGGGTGAGCAGTAGTAGACCTGCTGGAGCCCTGTCGCACCTGAGCACCCCCACTGTGGGCTCCTGGGTGCCCTGGGCACATGCTTCCAGCCAGTGGCATGTGGGGGCCAGCATTTTCCATGGCCGTCCTGTTTGTGAAATGCACAGTTTGCTTTCTCTAACCACGCATTGAGTTTTTTAGACTGGCCTTTGCCCAGAATAAAATATCCTTGGAAATTTTAAACAAAATCCCCTCGGTCCACTTGGAATTATAAAAAGGTGTCAGAATACACTAGAGATGGGTTTGGGGAGTCAGACCGTCTGTCCCACCCACACAGCTGACCCAGAGGCCAGGGCGAGGCAGAGCTGTGGTTGGTCTTCATCCTCCTGAGGGACTGACCCCTCTGCGTTTTGCTTCCCGACATGTGAGTGTGTGTGGAGGGTGGTCTTCCAGTGGATGTCCTCAGCCCTACAGGGGCGTGCTGGCATTTGTCCTGCAGCCTCTCCTGGGTGCATGCCAGAGGTGGGTCCTGAACGGGCCTCCCACAGCCTGGCACTCACCTGTCTGCTCTGCTCTCCAGGCACCAAGGGCAACCTGACGGAAGCAAAGGCGCTGCTGGCCACCAGCCTGATCCTCACCGTGGCCGGCTCCCTGCTGTCTGTCTACTTCCTGCTCTGGCAGACCCTGGTGCTGTGGGCAGACTCGATCCTCAGTGCCATGCTGCTGACTTTCCACGGCCTGGAAGCCGTCCTGCAGGTGGTGGCCATCGCTGCCTTCATCAGCTAGGCAGGCCGTGCTCGGCCCCGGACAGCGCTGGACAGGAGCCCTCCTGGGAGCCCAGCAGTCCCTGCCCTGGTGCTCAGAGGAAAGGGCATTTTCCTACCAGTCAGTCCCGTGTGGCAGGGTCAGGTGGTTTGGGTGGTGTATGAGTATTCTTGGGGGCAGGACCAGGACATGACAAAGTGTGGGGCCAGGTGTTGGGGACAGCTGTCAAGTAAGTCAGGGCTTGCCCTGGGACAAACCTCAGGATGGCCCCAAGCCAGCAGGGGCCAGTGGGCTTCACCCTGTCACCTCCCAGGAGAAGCAGCTTCCTGGTAGTGGCCCTGGCTGTCTCCCTCAAGGGTGTGCCCAGAGGCCAGCCAGCCAGGCCAGCATGACACACATTTTCTCTCTGTGATACAGCATTTCTCACGCAAGTCTTTGCATTCCATCGCGTCCACACGTCCTCACGATGGGAAACAGCCGTGTGGGTAGGACAGGGAGCCTCAGCTGCTCAGGCCACGTCCTGGATGGACAGCTTCCAAAAGAAAAGATGCAGAGAGCCAGTCGGCTCTAGTGTGGGGTGTGTCCACAGCAGCCACAGCTCCTGGGGTTTCTGACCCAACTGGCACCCGTGGGGGCAGTGGCACCCTCTCCCTGCCCTGGGCTTGGTGACAGCCACCTCGGCTCCCGTGTCCGGCCTCGGCGGTCGGGACGCCAGGCACGTTCGTGCTCCATGCCAGACGCGCCCAGGACACCACGGGCGTGGGGGTCGGGACATGGCGGGGGCGTGGATCTCCCAGCGACTCCTGTTCACCCCTGCTGCTCGTCTTCGGTTCGAGATGACACGTTCAGATGGGTGTGCACTTGCTCCCCACTGAGTGTTCACAATAAAGAAGTTATACCTCCCTGAACGTTTCCTAATTAAGGCACCTGCCTCCTCCAGCGCTGGCCTTCCGCACAGGAGCGCACCCGCTGGGCCAGGCTGCTGGTCACCAGAGGCTGGGCCGGCCTTCCCACCTCTGGTTGTCCTGGGCCTCCAGGGCTGGCCTTCCGCACAGGAGCGCACCCGCTGGGCCAGGCTGCTGGTCACCAGAGGCTGGGCCGGCCTTCCCACCTCTGGTTTGTCCTGGGCCTCCAGGGCTGGCCTTCCGCACAGGAGCGCACCCGCTGGGCCAGGCTGCTGGTCACCAGAGGCTGGGCCGGCCTTCCCACCTCTGGTTTGTCCTGGGCCTCCAGGGGCTGGCCTTCCGCACAGGAGCGCACCCGCTGGGCCAGGCTGCTGGTCACCAGAGGCTGGGCCGGCCTTCCCACCTCTGGTTTGTCCTGGGCCTCCAGGGGCTGGCCTTCCGCACAGGAGCGCACCCGCTGGCCAGGCTGCTGGTCACCAGAGGCTGGGCCGGCCTTCCCACCTCTGGTTTGTCCTGGGCCTCCAGGGCTGGCCTTCCGCACAGGAGCGCACCCGCTGGCCAGGCTGCTGGTCACCAGAGGCTGGGCCGGCCTTCCCACCTCTGGTTTGTCCTGGGCCTCCAGGGGCTGGCCTTCCGCACAGGAGCGCACCACGCTGGGCCAGGCTGCTGGTCACCAGAGGCTGGGCCGGCCTTCCCACCTCTGGTTTGTCCTGGGCCTCCAGGGCTGGCCTTCCGCACAGGAGCGCACCCGCTGGGCCAGGCTGCTGGTCACCAGAGGCTGGGCCGGCCTTCCCACCTCTGGTTTGTCCTGGGCCTCCAGGGGCTGGCCTTCCGCACAGGAGCGCACCGCGCTGGGCCAGGCTGCTGGTCACCAGAGGCTGGGCCGGGCCTTCCCACCTCTGGTTTGTCCTGGGCCTCCAGGGGCTGGCCTTCCGCACAGGAGCGCACCCGCTGGGCCAGGCTGCTGGTCACCAGAGGCTGGGCCGGGCCTTCCCACCTCTGGTTTGTCCTGGGCCTCCAGGGGCTGGCCTTCCGCACAGGAGCGCACCGCGCTGGGCCAGGCTGCTGGTCACCAGAGGCTGGGCCGGGCCTTCCACCTCTGGTTTGTCCTGGGCCTCCAGGGCTGGCCTTCCGCACAGGAGCGCACCGCGCTGGGCCAGGCTGCTGGTCACCAGAGGCTGGGCCGGCCTTCCCACCTCTGGTTTGTCCTGGGCCTCCAGGGCTGGCCTTCCGCACAGGAGCGCACCGCGCTGGGCCAGGCTGCTGGTCACCAGAGGCTGGGCCGGGCCTTCCCACCTCTGGTTTGTCCTGGGCCTCCAGCGCTGGCCTTCCGCACAGGAGCGCACCGCGCTGGGCCAGGCTGCTGGTCACCAGAGGCTGGGCCGGCCTTCCCACCTCTGGTTTGTCCTGGGCCTCCAGGGCTGGCCTTCCGCACAGGAGCGCACCCGCTGGGCCAGGCTGCTGGTCACCAGAGGCTGGGCCGGGCCTTCCCACCTCTGGTTTGTCCTGGGCCTCCAGGGCTGGCCTTCCGCACAGGAGCGCACCCGCTGGGCCAGGCTGCTGGTCACCAGAGGCTGGGCCGGGCCTTCCCACCTCTGGTTTGTCCTGGGCCTCCAGGGCTGGCCTTCGCCAGGAGCAGGGCAGCACCTTCACAGGTGCTTGGTGGCAAGTGGGCCTCTGGTTCAGGACCAGCGCCCCTCCTGCTGTGCTGCCGCCTGGGCACTGGCCCCCAGGCTGGGGGAACCCCTCCCCTGCAAACCCCAGCTGGGGCCTCAAAATACCCATCACTCTGGCCACAGAGGGGACACCATGGCTCCAGGTGGCCCGGCCAATAACCAGGCTGGGACTCCAGGCCCCCAGTACCTCCTTGTGGGTCATTGTTCCTAATCCGGTGACACCACCATGGGTTTCAGAAGCTGCTCGCTTGCCCTCCTCACCAGAGGCTCAGCCTCCAGGAAGGGTGCGGGCAGGTGAGCGCCTTCCCTTCTGGGTACTTAGCAATAGGGACACAACCAGGAAGCCAGGACTCGGGCGGGGCTGGCCCCAAGGACAAAGGCCACTTCCTGCACCCCCTCATAAGCGCACCTGTGATGCCTTCAAGACCTGGCCCTGGGGTCCTGGCACCAGGAAGTTGCAGTGTGGCTGACCCTCAGGGTTGGTGTGCCTCCCTGCCCCCGGGGCTCCGTGCCAGCAGAAGTAAATGCCCCCTGCCCTTCTGAGGTCAGGCTCGGAGACCCTTGGACCCTTTTCCACTCCCCCACCCCAGGAAAAATAGCTGGTGCCTTGGGGTCCCTGCACATGGCTTGTGGTGCCCACCTCCACCTGGGCTGGCCATCTGCCCCTCCTCCACGTCCTCCTTGCTCAGCTGGGTGGGCAGGGGCTCCTGGGAGTCAGTTCAGGAGGAAGGATGCCTGCGCGGCGCTGTGGGCAGAGGTTAAGGCCCGGGCCCAAGGAGGGAGGCGCTGCCCAGAGCACCCGCGCCGGTTCTGCCCTGGCCCTCCCCAGCCTTCCGTCAGATCCCTCCGTGCCCTGGCCGGGCTGGGTGTCACAGAGACTTCGGGGGTTTCGGGGTTGTGGAGAAGGGAGCCCCCGCTCACGAACTGCAGCCTGGCCCTAGTGCTCCCGCAGACCAGGGGGGTAGCCGAAGAAGGGGACTGCCCCCGAGTCTGGGGCCAAAATGAGCCCCTGCCTCGCACCTGAGGCTGAAGTCACCTGCCGGGCTAGAGTGTGACCCCCCTAGGGCACCAGACACCCCTTATGGGGAGCAGTTCAGGGGCCAGAGCAAGTTCTCAGCCTCCCCTGCGGGTCCTCGCGGAGGAGGGGCTCTCGCCCACCCTTCCGTGGGCACCCAGCTCCAGGGTTGGGGACAGAGTGGGTGTTAGGGACCCCCCGCGGGGAGCCCCGTGGGCGGGGTCAAGGTAAGGGGGCGGGGCGGCGACGCCCACGCCGTGTCCCCACCCCCGCGCCCGTGGTGTCCAGGTTCTAACCTGCCGCTCAGGTTCCTCCCGGCGGCTCCGCCCCTGTCCGGCGGCCCAGCCCCGCCGCGTCCTCCGCCCGCGGAGCCCAGCGCCGACAGACGGCGGACGGACACGCGCGGACGACGGGACCAGCGGCGGCGGTGGGGCCGCGAGCAGCAGGTGAGCGCCCCGCGGGGTCACGGACCCAGCGCGCCCACCGGCCGCGCCCGCCCGCGCTCGGCAGGAGCAACGCGGAGCCGAGCCCACGACGGGCGGGCCGGGCCTCAGTTTCCCCAGGTGGCGGTGCGACACGGGTCTGCAGGCCGGCCCGGGGCGGGAGGCCTCGGCCGGGGCGCGAGGGGCTGCGCCGGGCTGGTGGCCAGGGGCCCGTCCCGCTGCGGCCTGGCCTGTCCCGTCCCGTCCGGTCCCGGGCGGCGCCGGTGCGTGGGGATATTTTTAAGCTAAGGCACATGAGTCAGCCGGCCCGTCCCAGCCCTGGGGCTCGTGTGGGGAACCCGGTCCTCCGCTGAAGGGGTGGCGAGGGGGTTCTCCCTGTCCTCGAAGACCCCACACCCCAGTCCTAGGCAAGCTGGGCCTCCATTGGTACCAGACCATCGAGGTGAGCCGGGGCTGCCTGTGGGTCAGACGTCAGGAGGCACTTCTGGGTGTCAGCGAGGAGGAAACCAGGGCCGGGGAACATGGGACTGGGGTCAGGCTCTCGGTCACATTCGGGGTGTGGGAGTTTCAGGGAGGAGGAGGCTGGGGCGGGGCAGATCCAGGGGGTGGACTGGCAGGGGCTGTGGGCATCCAACCTCTGGCTCTCGTACACTTTTCCTCCCTGGGCCAGGCTGGGGGGGGGTGGCAGCCCCTGTGCAGGAGGGTGTGCCAGGTGGCAAGGGAGGGGTGTCTGCAGGGTTCTTCACAGACCATCTCTGCCCCCACCCCAGGTACAGTCTGCCCCAGGCAGGGCCCAGCTGGTGGTGCCTCCCCTCCCCCGACTCTGCACACACACACACATACCCATGGCCCTGCCCAGGCCTCTGCTGGTCCCTGCCTAGTGTCCCGCCCCAGTGGCTCAGAGCTCGGCTCTGCCTATCCAGCCTGCTTGCTGCTGGCTCCCAGGTGCACTCTGAGCATCTGCCCACTCCCGGCCTATCTTCCCAGGTTTGTTCCTCCCTCCCACCAGGATGGGCCCTTTCCTCACCCCAAGCTCCCAGACCTGCGCACAGCCAGCGCCTGAGAGGGTTCCTCCATTTCACCGCCCCACCTGGCTCCCCCTGGGCCTTAAGCTGGCTTCTCCCCAAGGTCACTGGGCGACAGGGCTGGAATTTGAACCTGGGGCCAGTCCCTCCTCCCTCCCTGCGGGAGCCTCCTCCCCTCCCTGGGTGACCAGGCACCATGTTCAGCTGTCCCTTTGCACCCGGAAAATGACCACAGTAAAACCAAAGTACAGCCTGGGCCCTGGCCCTGGGGCTGCATGGCACCCCTGCCCCAGTCAGCTGAACCCACTGGACCCCATGTGCTCCCTGACCCAGAGGTCGGGGGCCACCTCCCTGCGGGTCCTGATGCTCCCCGCTCCGCCCCAGGGAGCTGAAGGCCACGGGTTCCCAGCCTAGGCTCCCCGAGGGGAGGGGCCACGCGGCACAGCCTGTGTGCCCGCGGGCCTGCGTTTCACCCAGCTGTGTGTACCTGGACATAGGTGCCCAGTGCCCTTGGCTCAGCCCGTCAGGAATCCCATTAAACAAATACTCGGGCTCACCCACTGAGGTCAGGAGCATTCCGGACATTCTGGAGGCACTGATGGCTGGAGGAATCTGGCCAAGCCCCACCCCTCTCCCTCCCCAGAGAGCCAGGACTCTCGGTGGCAGTGGGAGGCCCGGGCTGGAGGCCCCCAGGCCGCACACTTCCTGGGAGTCCTCCCTGCAGGTAGGACCTGGTCCAACCAGAAAGCCCTGGGCTGCTCCCTGCCCTGGATACCAGCACCCCTGGTTCGCGGCCACTGACTGTGGCCGACCCCAACACTGCAACCGCTGGCCAGTGGCATTAGACAGAAGGTGAATGTGGGCCCAGAGAGCCCCATGGGGCACAGGCCCACAGGTGCCAGGCTCTGCTCAGGCCCTCTGGACTTGACCCAGGCTCAGGGTCCCCCGGGCCCCCCAGCTCCAGCCTCATCCTGATCTGCCCTCCTCCCATCTCAGGGCCTTGGACACCATTTCCTCTGCTTAAAGGTGCTTCCCCCTGAGCCCCTTCAGAGCCCCCAGGACACACTTCTCGAAGCCCCGCCCCAGAGGCCTCTGGCTGTGGGAGGCCTCTGCTGGTCCGTCTGGGGGTCCCTGTGGAGGGCCAAGGGTCTGGGGTGAGATGGGGTGGCGATGGCCCATGGGACATGGGGCGGAGGTAGGTGGTGTTGGGAGTCTGGACAGGTGGTCAGGGCTCCAGCCCCTGGATCTGGGGTGGGGGCTGGAGACCCGATGAGGCTGCACTGTTCCCCGTCCACTCAGGTGCGAGCCAGACGCCAGGGCCCGGACTCAGGCCACACCGAGGTCTGCCCTCCACCACTGGCCGCACTGAGGACGCCATGAGCCAGTCGGGGTCTATGAGCTGCTGCCCAGGTGCTGCCAAGTGAGTCCCCCCCCACCCAGCTCACCCCCACCTGCCAACCGCAAGCAACCCCCAACCCCAGAAGGGGTGCACGGGGCCCCACCCTCACCAGCCCCTCCCCCGCAGTGGCAGCCTGGGCCGGTCTGACAGTGTGGCCAAGATGAGTGCCAAGGACCTGTTTGGTGAGTGAGGTTTGAGGACGGGAGGGTCTCGCTCCCCCACCCCAAGGCTGTGCTGGGCCCCCACCAGGGGAGACGCAGGTCAGCGCTGGGCACCCCAGGAAGCTCCTGGACCCTGCTCAACCAGCCACTTGGGTCCTTCCGTAAAGCTCCAGGCCCCGTGGCCCTCCCCACTGAGCGGTAAGGGGAGAGGCTTTGCTAATAATTCAGGGCCATCAATATTGATTGGGCTGAGCTTCTCACTGAAACCCTATCGGAGGGGGACTGAGCGCCAGGTGTCTGCTCCTGGACAGCCATCCCGGCCAGGCCCCCTCCCCTCAGCCTGCCCCTCCCCCCGGCGCCCCCAGCCCTGCCCCTCCATCTCATTCATGCCTGTGAACAGGGTGCCCAGTCTAGAAACCAGCAGCTCCAGGAAGGGCAGGAGATGTTAGCTGGCAGCCAGGGTGGGGGAAGCCTGCTCCCACCCCAGGAAGGGGGACAGCCTCCTGCACCCCCACCATGACAGACCCCAGTCACAGGTGTGCCATCACCTGTCTGAGCAGGTCGTCCTGGGGCTGGAGGGAGGTTCACCTTCTGCCAGGACCTTGAGTCCATCATGGTGCTTGAGGGGCCCACAGAGCAGTATCCCTCCCTTCCACTCCACTTGGACGGGGCCCCGGGGCCGCCCTCTGGGGTGAGTGACTGGTGTCTCCCCACTCAGAACAGAGGAAGAAATACTCCAATTCCAACTTCGTCATGCACGAGACCTCCCAGTACCACGTCCAGGTGAGGTGGCCCCAGGGAGCACCCCATCCCCACTGCTCCAGGGTCCCCGGCGGGTGGAAAGGAGGCCCAGGGAGAAGTGGTCAGCCCAGGTTCTGACACCCACCAGCAGGTGACCAGAGGCAGGGACAGCCCCACACCTGTCCTGGCTCAGTCACAGTGGGGGCCTCCCTCCAGTTGTGGGGAGATCACGGTCTGGGGGATGCAGGGAACCCTGGGTCTGCATTGGGGGAGAGAAGGTGCTGGTGGCCAGGACGGCGCAGGCGAGGCCACACCTGGTGCCTGGCAGCCCTCAGATGGGAAGACCCTGCGGGAAAGAAACGGTCCCCTTGGCCCCGACACAAGGAACTGCACTTGAGGGAGAAGGTGGACAGAGACGTGTTGCACTGAGCTTCTGCAGGGCGGCCTGACTGACCAGTAGTTTGGGGACTCGTCGAGCTTGGCTACCTGCTCTCCAGACCAGCTGCCAGCACAGGAGGGCTCCCCTGGGTCAGCTTTTCACACTCGGAACTCAGGAAATACGTTTCTTAAATGACCTTGCTCCTGGCGGCCTCATTCCTGGTTCCCAGTCCTTCTCCGGGCCTGCAGGACAACAGGGCTGGGGATGGCTGAGGAGAGAAAAGCTGGGGGGACCCTGATCAGAAAGGAGAGGGGCCCTGGACCAGGAAGGTGGGGCCTTGGACCAGGAAGGCAAGTACTGCCCTCCCCATTTTGCCTTCCCCGCCCACAGAGGTCGGACAAGTCACTGCTTTCTGAGCCTCAGTTTTCTCGTCTATGCAATGGGTCCACAGAGACACTGGGGGTTCCTCGGGCTCAGGGACCAGCCCTGGGGCCATTCTGTGCTGCCGGGCTGGTGACCACTACTGGCTCAGTGTCCCAGGTCAGAGCACAGAGGGTGGAGGGGTCAGCTTTGTCCCTCTCAGGCAGCTCTGCCACCTCTGGGGCCAGGGGACTTCGCCCTTCTTGGTGAGGAGCCACCTCTACTACCAGGGCCTCCCAGCCCATCTCCTGGACTCTGGTCCAAGCCGTGGAGGGACCCCAGCCCAGGGGCGCCTCTTCTGCCCACTACAGCCAGCGAGGCTGGGGCATGGCCGGGTTTGCCTGGTCCTCCCAGACGAGGAAACTGAGGCACCGAGAGAGGGTGAGAGGTGGGGGCTAGGTCAGATCCACCCTGGCAACGAGGGGCCGCTGCAGCCAGGTGGATTTTGACTTTTTGGTTTTGTTTTTGCGTTTTTCTAAATTAGCATCAGGAAATTTGAGAGTGAGGGTGTGGGGTGTGCGGTTCTAGTGTAGACCTGGGTCGCCACCAGGATGGAGCTGTCCAGGCCACGGAAAGGCTGCGTGCCCCCAAAACAGCCTCGTGCTGACCCCGTGTGGTCACAGCCCTCCCCGCCCTCTCGGGCAGCGCTGCACGGTCCCCTGGCACCCCGGTTTGTCTTTCTGAGAACCCCCATAAATGAAACCATACAGCTTGTAGCTACCCTTGTCCTGCTTCATAAACCTATTTGAAGAAAGCACGAAGGCGGGGGGCACAACGCTGCAGGGACCCTTGGGGTGGCCCCGCTTCCGTCCACTCACCCGGCCCCTGTGGGCGGCAGGGTCCTGTCCTCACACCGCGCGGGTCCCCGTGTGGCCCGTTGATTCCTGTGCGTCACTGTCCTTGGCTGAGCAGAAATGTCTCATTTTGATGACACCCAATCATATCCATCTTTTTCGTTTATAGTTGGGTTCTTTTTGTTGTCATTGCCTGGCCCGAGGCTCTGAAGGTCTCCTCCTGTGTTTTCTAGCCGCCTGTACTTCAGGCCTTGGCGTGTAGGTCTGCGAGCCACTTCGAATTCACTTGGGGCGCGGTGTGAGCTCAAGGCAGTGTGGTTACGGGACTCGAGGCTTGTTCTTTCCCCGTGGGAGTGTGCAGCTATGTTAAACAGACGTTCTCTCCCCCTTGGATCGCCTGGGTCCCTTTTGTCCGACACGGACGGACTGGAGTGGACGGGCCACTGCTGGACTGGCCTGCCGTTCCCTGCCGTGCTTGTATCCGCCTTGACATCAGCAGCCTGAGCCCGCGGGCTTTGTGCTTTCTCTTCAGGGTCTTCCTGACCACGCTCAGTTCTTTGGACCTGCGTTGACATTGTAGAACCGAGTTGTTTCTGCCCCCCAAAAAAAGTGTGGTAGAATTTTGATTGGCATTGAGTCAAATCTATGGGTGGATTCGGGGAGCGTTGGCACCCTGACAGCACTGAGCCTCGGATCCCGGAGCTCTCGGGGGGCTCCTTGGTCTCTGTCTCTGGTTTTCACCGCCGTGCCTTTGCTCATCTTCGGTTGAAATACTTCCTAGGCCTGGCAGGTGTGGCTCTGGGGACTGAGCGGTGTCCCCTGGACTGAGAGGTCCTGGTTCGCACACTGGTGTTTCTGTCTCGCTCTCCCTTTCTCTTTCTCTAAAACAATAAAAAATAAATAAAATAAAAACATTTAAAAAACAGAAGGAAATACTCCTTAGGCATTTGGGGTTATTTTTTTATCCTTACCTGAGGACATTTTTTTGCATTTATCTTCAGATAGAGCAGGAAGGAGAGAGGGAGGAAGAGAGAGAGAAACATCGATGTAAGAGAGACACATCGACTGGCTGCCACCCACACAACGCCAACTGGGCTGGGGACAAACTGCAACCGAGGTAGGTGCCCTTAGTAGGAACCGAACCCGGGCCTCTCTGGTCTGCAGGCCAACGCTCTAATGGCTGAGCCACGCCGGCCAGGGTGGCATTTGGTTTTTATGTGTTGTCATAAATGGTATTGTTTTTTAAAATTTTATTTTCCGGCTCTGGTCAGTGTGGTTCACTGGTTAGAGTGTCGGCCTGTGCACGGAGGGGTCATGGGTTCGATTCCTGGGCGAGAGTGCATACCTGGGTTGCAGGTTGGATCCCTGGCCCCGGCTGGGGTGCATGTGGGAGGCAACCAATCGATGTGTCTCTCTCACATCAATGTTTCTCTCTCTTCCTCCCTCCCTTCCACTCTCTAAAAATCAATGGAGTCCTGGCCGGTTTGCTCAGTGGTTAGAGCGTCAGCCTGCGGTCCACAAAGACCCGGGTTCGGTTCCCACTAAGGGCACGTACCTCGGTTGCAGTTTGTCCCTGGCCCCGGTTGGGTCGTGCGGGTGGCAACCACTCGATGTGTCTCTTTCACGTCAATGTTTCTCTCTCTCTCTCCCTTACACTCTATCTGAACAAAAAATGGAAAAATGTCCTCAGGTGAGGATAAAATAAATAAATAAATAAAAATCAATGGAGCCCTGGCCTGTTTGGCTCAACGATTAGAGCATTGGCCTGCGGACTAATGAATTGAGGGTTCGATTCCAGTCAAGGGCATGTACCTCGGTTGTGGTTTGTCCCCGGCCCTGGTCGGGTTGTGTGACACAGAGGCAACCAGTCCGTGTGGCTCTGTCACATGGAAGTTTCTCTCTCTCTCTCCCCCTCCCTTCCACTGTATCTGATGATAAATAGAAAAATATCCTCGGGTGAGGAATTTAAAAAAAAAAAAAAAATCAATGGAAAAAAATATCTCAGGTGAGGATTAACAAAAGGACAAAAAAATTCACTTTCTGCCCTGGCTGGTTTGGCTCAGCGGTTAGAGCGTCGACCTGCGGTCCGGAGAGACCCGGGTTCGGTTCCCGCTAAGGGCACGTACCTCGGTTGCAGTTTGTCCCCGGCCCTGGTCGGTCGTGCGGGTGGCAGCCACTCGATGTGTCCCTTTCACATCGATGTTTCTCTCTCTCTCTCTGTTCCTCTCTCTCCCTCCCACTCTACCTGAACAAAAAAAATGGGAAAATGTCCTCGGGTGAGGATAAAAAAAAAAAAAATTCACTTTCTGATTTTCTGTTGCTAGCCTGTAGACAAACAATTGAATTTCTGTAAAGTAACCAAGTACCCCGAGTCCTGATTGAATTCCTTCGTTTTTTTCGGGGGCTTTGCTTGTAGATTCATTGGATCTTCCATGTACACGTCTATGTTGTCGGCAAATAAAGACAGTATTTAATTTCTTACTGTAGCCACTTGATTTTTCTTATTCGATCGCCCGGCCAGCACCGCCCGGACAGTGTTTAATGCAGTCCGAGCCTTGGGTCCAGTCTTAGAAGACAGCTGTCAGCATGTCCCCGTTACCCAGTGTGTGTTCGCAGCTGCCCTTTGTGGGCGGAGGACGTTTCTTTCCATTCTCCGTGTGCTGAGACTTTTTTAAAAAAATATGTTTTTATTGATTTTTTTAGAGAGAGAGGAAGGGAGAGAAACATTGATCGGCTGCCTCTGGCTCGCCCCCTCACTGGGAATTGAGTGCGAAACCCAGGCATGTGCCCCGACCGGGAATCAAACCGGGACCTCTCCGTCCCTGGATGACGCTTAATCCGCTGAGCCACACCAGCCGGGCTGCTGAGGCGTTTTATCATGAAAGATGCTTAAATGTTATCAAATGCTTTTTCTGTTTGTTTTTGTTTGTTTTAAATCCTCACCCCAGGATACTTTTTTCCATCTGTCTTCAGATAGAGTGGGAGGGAGAGAGAGAGAGAAGCATCAGTGTGAGAGGGACACATCGACTGGTTGCCTCCTGCACGACCCCAACCAGGGCCCGGGAAAAACCACAACCGAAGCACGTGCCCTTGACCAGAATCGAACCCGAGGCGCTTTGGTTCGCGGGCCGACGCTCTACCGCTGAGCCAAACCGGCCAGGACTCAAACGCTTTTTCTGAATCACACTAACTGGGTTTTTAAAAATATTGAACCGACCTAGCATTTCTGGGGTAAACCTCATTCATTCATGCTGTACTATCCTTTTTATCCTTTTACTGATTTGCTAACATTTTGTTAAGGATTTTTTTGGCATTAATGTTTATTGGAGATACTGGTCTATAATTTTCTTTTCCCGGGATGCCCTTGGAGGTTTGGTGTCAGGGTGATGCTGGCCTTATAAAGAGAGTGGGGTTGCCCTGGCCAGTCTGGGTCAGCGGTTAGAGCGTCGGCCTGCGGTCCAGAGAGACCCGGGTTCAGTTCCCGCTAAGGGCACATACCTCGGTTGCGGTTTGTCCCCGGCCCTGGTTGGTCGTGCGGGTGGCAGCCACTTGATGTGTCCCTTTCACGTCAATGTTTCTCTCTCTCTCTCTCTCCCTCCCACTCTATCTGAACAAAAAATGGAAAAATGTCCTCGGGTGAGGATAAAAACATTTTTTTTAAATAAATAAAAAGAGAGTGGGGTTGCTGTCCCTCCTGGGAGCATGCCCACACCCTTCTTCCCCCATGGGCATGCATCTCTTGAACTCTGGGGTCCCCAAGAGACTCGCAACCTGGGGAGCAATGGGCAGTGGCGGCTCGTCCCAGCCTAACCCCCTGGACTGTCTCCAGGGCCCCCTTTTTTCTGCTTGCCCAGTGAGCCAAGGCCGCCCCCCCGGGCTATCCTGCGCTTCTTGTATCCTGGGCCCCCAGCTTTAATAAACATGCCAAGAAAGAAGGGGGGGGGCAGTGGGTAAGTGTTCCTCCTCTGTTTTCAGAAGGAGTTGATGAAATGCTGTTATTACTTCTTTCTTAAATATTCGTTAGGGTTACCCTGGGAGGCCCTCTGAACATGGGGCTTTGGTTGTGGGAAGCTTTTTTTTTTTAATTTATCCTCACCCGAGGACATTTTTCCATTCTTTGTTCAGATAGAGTGGGAGGGAGAGAGAGAGAGAGAAACATCGATGTGAAAGGGACACATCGAGTGGCTGCCTCCTGCACGACCCAACCAGGGCCCGGGACAAACTGCAACTGAGGTACATGCCCTTAGCGGGAACCGAACCTCGGTCTCTCTGGACTGCAGGCCGACGCTCTAACCGCTGAGCCACCCTGGCCAGGGCCTTATGGGAAGCTTTCAATTATGAGTTTACTTTCCTTCCTGTGGGGTCTGCAGTGATGTCCCCTCTGTCCTCATGGCCACTGGTCATTCCTTTTCTCTGGTTTTGTCTTGACCACTCTTGTTCGGGGGTTATCCATCTCATTCATCTTTTCAGAACCAACTTTGGGCTTCGTTGATTTTTCTCCCTTGTCTGTCTGTTTACTAGTTTGTTAGTTTCTCTCTTAAGTTCCTTCTTCCCCTTACTTTGGGGCTTTGTGTCTTCTTCTTCTTGAGGAGGGTGCTTAGATCTCTGATAGTCAGTCTTCCTTCTTTCCTAACCTATTCATTTAAATCCTGCAAAGTTACCCCAAAGAACTACTTGAGCTGTACCCTAAGCTTCGATGCGCGTGGTGTTACTATTACTCAGTGCAGAAGACAGTTGACCCTTGAACAGAATGGGTTTAAACCGTGTGAGTCCACTAATACATGGTTTTTTTTCAATGAATATGTATTTTTCTTCCTTATGATTTTCTTAATGACATTTTTTGTCTAGCGTGCTTTATTGTAATACAATACATACTCTCTACAGCATACAAAATGTGTGTGAATCGACTTTATGTTACCAGGAAGGCTTCCAGACAGCAGTAGGCTATTTGTAAAGTTTTTGGAGAGTCCCTGGCTGGTGTGGCTCAGTGGTTGAGCACTGACCCATGCACCAAGGGGTCACCGGTTCGATTCCTGGTCAGGACACATGCCTGGGGTTGCTGGCTCGATCCCCACTAGGGGACGTGCAGGAGCAAGCGATGGATGGTTCTTTCTCACTGATGTTCTCCCTTCCTCTCTCTCGAAATCAATAAAAACATTTTTTTAAGTTATGTTCAGATTTTCAATGCACGGGGATTGGTGTCCCTCACCTTCATGTTGCTCAAGGGTCACCTGTACTTTTTCATTTTCCTTGTGACTTCTTTGACCCATGGCTTGTTCAGAAGTATGTTGTTTAATTTCCGATTACGTATTTGGGTGTTTTCCAGTTATCTTTCTGTTATTCTTTTTTTTCTTTTATTTATTGATTTTAGAGAGAGAGGAAGGGAGAGGGAGAGAGATAGAAACATCGATGAGACAGAACATTGATTGGCCACCTCCTGCACGCCCCCCACTGGGGATCAGGCCCACTACCTGGGCATGTGTCCCGACCAGGAATCAAACTGGCGACTTTTGATGCACCGGTCGACGCTCAACCACTGAGCCACACCAGCTGGGCTTGTTTTTCATTTCCAGTTTAACTCCATTCTGGTCAGAGAACATGCTTCTGTGTGATTTAACTCATTTTTACTGGACTGACTTGGGGGCCCAGCAACTTGGTCTTGCTTGGTGTGGTGCCGCCGCATTTCACGAGCGTGTGTTTCTCAGACGGATCGGCTGCCTTGGGCAGCTCCCCGGGGGGCCCCCGCGTCCCCCATCTCAGCCACAAGGACCGATCAGTCCTGGTCCCTAGACGAGGTAAACAATTCAACGCTGACTTATTCCTAAAGGAAGGGTCTCCGAGCTCAACTAGCTAAGTCTCATTCGATGAGACTGCGTACAATTTTCTGAAATAAAGCTACTTGGATTTGCCCTGGCCGGTTTGGCTCAGCGGTAGAGCGTCGGCCTACAGACCAATGAGTTGCGGGTTCGATTCCGGCCAAGGGCATGTCCCTCGGTTGCGGTTTGTCCCCGGCCCTGGTGGGGCTCATGCAGGAGGCAGCCACTCGATGTGTCCCTTTCACATCGATGTGTCTTCTCTCCCTTTCTTTTCCCCTCTCTCCCTCCCACTCTGTCTAAAGATAAATGGAAAAATATCCTTGGGTGAGGATTCAAAAAACCAACAAACAAAAAAGCTTCTTGAATTTATTTTCCTGTAGGCTCGCTGTTCATATCTTTTGCCAGTTTTGCTACTGAGGTGTTCATCTTTTCCTTGTCTACTTATGTATTTATTCTTGGAATCCTTAATTATTATATTTAACAAAGTAAATGTCCTGGCCAGTTTGGCTCAGCGGTTAGAGCATCGGCCCGTGGACCAAAGAGTCTCGAATTCGATTCCGGTCGAGGGCACGTGCCTCGGTTGCAGGTTCCATCCCTGGCCCCAGTCGGGTCATGTGGGAGGCAACCAATCGATGTCTCTCTCTCTCCCTCTCCCTCCCTCCTTCCCGTTCTCCCACTCTATCTGAATCAGTGGAAAAATATCCTCAGGTGAGGATTAAAAACAAAGTAGCGCTTCTAACAAAGTTAAGAGCCATCTTTGTAACGAATATTGGTCTTTTTATGTTAAGACAGTCATCACTGTGTCTATTGTGTCTATTTTTCCCCCTTTCTTTAAAACTGTGCACATGGTATTTTCTCCAGGGCGAAAGCTTTATATTTTCATTAGGTCAGATATATTGGCTTTTTCTTTGGAGCCCCTGGATTTTCTTCCTGGCTTAGGAGTCCCCTCAGGAAGGAAGTCTTTCTGAGATGGTCAGAGGTCAACCAGTATTTCTTCTAGTACCTTCGTGGTGGCGAGTTTTCCCGTTAAGTCTTGACTGCCTGGAGTCTGTGTTCCTGTTCACCCTGCTGCCCCAGTGTTGCTGACCGGATTCAGCCCAGGCTGGTGGGGCAGCCAGGCTCAGGGGACAGGAGAGGAGGAAGGCCAGGCAAGGGGAGGCCTGGGCTGGACAAGTTTCCCCGGGCTGCTGCCTGGATGCCTGCTCATTCCCTGCACATTGGCAAGGGCACTGTCCCAGCCCTGGGGGACAGCAGTGCCCGGCAGCCAGATCCCTGTCCTCACACTGAACACAAAGGATGTCACCTACGGATGATGTCGGTGCACAAGAAATAAAACCAGGGCTGGCTTTATTTATAACAAACCAGGGCTGTGGTGACAGTGATGCTGAGCTGGGGAGGGCCGTCTCAGAGGTGGGGACAGCTGGGACCGGGAGGAGGCGCCGCTAGGCTAGTGCAGAGGCCCTGTGGTGGGCCCGCCAGGGGTGGGGGTGGGGATAGTCCTTGCAGGGCAGCAAAGGTTCTGTCAGGACTCGGCCTCGGCTTTATATTTTCATTAGGTCAGATATATTGGCTTTTTCTTTGGAGCACCTGGATTTTCTTCCTGGCTTAGGAGTCCCCTCAGGGCCGGCAGAGACACCCTAAGGGGGTGCTGTGCCCCTTCGGACCCCCAGGGAAGGTGTTCCTCCCCAGACCCCTGGGCGCAGCCCCTTGGCCCTGGCTCTTGGCACAAGGAGGGCTCTGCCCATCGTGACCACCCGCCTGCCCGCCCCCAGCACTTGGCCACATTCATCATGGACAAGAGTGAGGCCATCGTGTCGGTGGACGACGCCATCCGGAAGCTGGTGCAGCTGAGCTCCAAGGAGAAGATCTGGACACAGGAGATGCTGCTGCAGGTCAACGACCAGTCACTGAGGCTGCTGGACATGGAGTCCCAGGTGGGCAGCAGCAGGGGCAGGGAGGGCGTCCACAACCCAGATTCCCAGCCAGGCCTCTCCTTGGGGGCGGGATCAGGATGAGGGCGAAGGGCAGGCCAGCAGGGAGGACTGGACGGGCTGAGAGTCCAGGACACAGGTACACAGGGCTGTGTCCACCTGTCAGGAGCCTGTGCACTGGCTGTCCAAGCCCAGGCCTGCCTGGGTCCGGGGGTCTATGGGTCTGTGCGTTTCATCTGTGGCCACTTCCCCGTGGAGTCCATGTCTGTGTCCACGTCTGGGTCACGTCCCTTTTCTGTGCCTGCGAGTTATGCTTGTGTCAGTGCCCATGGCACAGCTTCCGTGTCCCGGGCACTCTGTTCCTCGGGTCCAGCCCAGGCCCGTGTCTGGGCCGTGTCTGGGCCGTGCCTGGGCCGTGTCTGGGCCGTGTCTGGGCCGTGTCTGGGCCGTATCTGAACCGTGTCTGGGCCGTGCCTGGGCCGTGCCTGGGCCGTGTCTGAGCCCTGTCTGGGCCTCACACCTGTGCGGCGTGGCTGAGCCATGTGAGCCTGTGCCCAAGCCTCCCTGCCCCCCAGGAGGAGCTGGAGAACTTCCCGCTGCCCACCGTGCGGCACACCCAGACGGTGCTGAACCAGCTGCGCTACCCGTCGGTGCTGCTGCTCGTGTGCCAGGACTCGGAGCAGAACAAGCCCGACATCCACTTCTTCCACTGCGACGAGGTGGAGGTGAGCAGGGGCCGCCGCGTGGGCCGAGCCAGCCCGGCGCCCGAGCCGACCTGACGCCCCCTCCCCACAGGCGGAGCTGGTGCACGAGGACATCGAGAGCGCGCTGGCCGACTGCCGCCTGGGGAAGAAGATGCGGCCCCAGACCCTGAAGTGGGTGCGGGCCGGCGGGAGGGGGCGGGGCCGGCGGGAGCTGGCGCTGAGCCGCGGGTCCCCTCCGCAGGGGCCACCAGGAGAAGCTGCGGCAGCGGCAGTCGGTGCTGCCTCCGCGCCAGGGCCCGGCCCCCGTGCCCTTCCAGCACTACGCCCAGAACTCTTCGCCCCCCAAGAACCGGGTGGGCCCGCCCGTGTCGCCCAGCGAGCCAGGTGGGCCGAGGGGCCGGGCTGGAGGCTGAGAGGCTGTCTGGCCCGTGGGGCTCGGTCAGCAGCGGCTCTGCTCCCCCCCCCCCCCCCAGGCTTCCGCTCTCAGGAGTCGCAGGACGAGGAGCCCCCGCGGGCCGTGCTGGCCCAGAAGATCGAGAAGGAGACGGTGGGTCTAGGCCCCTTGGTGCCCGCCCCTCCCCGGCCCGGGGCCAAGAGGCAGGCCTGTGGCTGTCCCGTGTGGGCGCGGCTGACCCCTGCCCCTGCTCTGACCCCAGCAAATCCTCAACTGCGCCCTGGACGACATCGAATGGTTCGTGGCCAGGCTGCAGAAGGCGGCGGAGGCTTTCAAGCAGCTGAACCAGCGCAAGAAGGGGAAGAAGAAGGGGAAGAAGGGGCCTGCAGGTGCTGGGGACGGGGAGGGGGACCGGGAGGGAGAGCGGGAGAGGGGTGGGGACAGGGTGGGAGACTGGGAGGGGGTTGGGGAACAGGGAGGGGTTGGGGAACGGAAAGGGGTGGGGAACAGGGAGACGGGATGGGGACTGGGTGGGAGACTGGGAGAGGGTTGGGGAACAGGGAGGGGGTGGGAGACTGGGAGAGGGTTGGGGAACAGGGAGGGGGTGGGAGACTGGGAGATGGGGTGGGAGACAGGGAGAAGGGAGGGGGACAGGGAGAGGGTTGGGGAACAGGGAGGGGGTTGGGGAACAGGGAGGGGGTTGGGGAACAGGGAGGGGGTGGGGAACAGGGAGGGGGTGGGGGACAGGGAGAAGGGAGGGGGACAGGGAGAGGGGTGGGGAGCAGGGAGGCAGGTGGACTCATGGCCACCGCCCCACGTTGCAGAGGGTGTCCTCACGCTGCGGGCGCGGCCCCCCTCCGAGGCCGAGTTTGTGGACTGTTTCCAGAAAACCAAGCTGGCCATCAACCTGCTTGTGAGTCCTGTGCCCCCCCCCCACCCCGTCCCGTCCTTGGGCCGACATCGAGAGGGAGGGCAGGGCCCGGGTCAGCCCCCGTTTGTTCCCAGCATCGCCCTCCCCCGGGTCTCCGCCGTTTGCTCACTGGCGCCCCCCCGCCCCCAGGCCAAGCTGCAGAAGCACATCCAGAACCCCAGCGCCGCCGAACTCGTGCACTTCCTCTTCGGGCCTCTGGACCTGGTGCCTGGGGCGGGGCGGGGCGGGGGGCGCGCCGGGCTGGCCCTCGGCCCAGGGTGGGGGAGCACTACCCTCCGAGCGGTGGGCGCAGCAGCGGACTGTGGTGGGGTGGGCGGGGTCCACCCGATGGGATCCCCTCTGAACCGTACTGTGCCCCAGATCGTCAGCACCTGTGGTGGCCCGGACATCGCACGCTCTGTCCTCAGCCCCCTGCTCTCCCGAGACGCCGTGGGCTTCCTTCGGGGCCACCTTGTCCCCAAGGAGATGGTGCTGTGGGAATCACTGGGGGAGACCTGGACACGCCCCCGGTACAGCACTAGGCAGAGAGGGGGTGGGGAGGGGGCACAGACTGGGGTGGGGTCAGCGGCAGGTGGGGCCAGTTCTGGCGGGTGGGCTCACCCCAGATCTCCCACCCCAGCTCCGAGTGGCCACGGGAGCCGCAGATGCTCCCCTACGTGCCCAAGTTCCACAGCGGCTGGGAGCCGCCCCTGGACGTGCTGCAGGAGGCGCCCTGGGAAGTGGAGGGGCTGTCCCCTGCCCCTGGTGAGGAGGTCAGAGCACCCTCCCTGCGGGCACTGGCGGCCCCCTTGCCTCCTCAGCCCACCTCCACCCCCTGCCCTCACCCCACCCACCCTCCTGGCCTGACCCCTACCCCACACCAAGCCCAGGTGACCCTCTTTCCTGCAGCGGACTCCAGTAAGCCGATCATCCTTCCGAAACACTCGGAAACACAGCCTTGTATCTGAGCCCACACCCCCTGGAGACCTCCACCCAGTCAGCTCCCCGCATGCTCATAGGTAAGTCCTCCAAGTGAGGGGGCGTGACACTCACCCTTCGAAACAGAGGGTCTGGGTACGCTGCCACCAGGTGGCAGCAAGTGCCTTGTTCGAACTGGAAACAGACACTTTCGAACTGGAAACAGGTTTTCCTTCTAACTTTGTGGTGTACAGTTTAAGGGAAAATGGCACAAGCCAACCATAAGCTCACTAACCTCCTACTAATCTCTTCTTGTGTCTGCACATTGGCGTTTTCGAGTCATGGTTAGAAATTTACTAAGCCTCTGAGCTTAAGTGTTTGAACCAATCCCTGCAACCTTGTTGGAGTTGAATTAGGCCCAATCGCAGAGCCAGAGGAAGGGGTAGAGGGCCTCTCCCCCCACCCCACCCCCAACACACACACCGCGAAAGAACACGTCCCACAGACACAGGGTCTGTTCTCACTCTTGGCCCAGGTCTGCCTGAGGAGCGTGCGACTTGGCCAGACGCCAGGGTTCTGTTTCAGGAGGGGAGGGGCAGCAAATCCCTGTTTTGAATGTTTGGTTTTTTAATTGATTTTTTAGAGAGCGAGGAAGGGAGAAAGAGAGAGAACCATTGATGAGAGAGAACATCAATTGGCCACCTTCTGCATGCCCCCCACTGGGGATCAGGTCCACAACCTGGGCATGTGCCCTGACCAGGGATCGAACTGGTGACCTCCCGGTGCCTGGGTCGATGCTCAACCACTGAGCCACACCGGTCGGACCTGGGGTTACAATTTAATGCGTTTTCATCCTTTGTCCTGGCTGAGCCACCCTGGCTAATCTTGACAGCCCTGCCAAGGCTCCAGGGGACACTCCAGCCTCAGGCCCTCACCTCCCCAGTGTCCTGAGGCTGCATCTGGGTGAGAGAGGCTCCCTGATGATCAGAGGCCAGAATGGACCGGGAGGGCTGGGCTGCAGCTCTAGGCCTGCTCCTTGCTGAGGTCAGGTCACGCCCAGCCAGAGCCGCCCACCCCACCCCACGCCCCTGCAGCCCACCGGCAGACGTCCAGTTGGTGCTCATGCATTCTGTGCTGCCCCAAGGGGCCACGGCCCTCCGGTCTGCTGCTTTCCAGGGACGGCTGTGACCTTGCCATTTCTTGGGGACACTCCTGTCTCTGATTTCCCTGTGGGGCCAGGCCTGGAGACCCATGAGGTGGCTTGGACTGCGGCCACCCTTGCTATGCCCAAGACACCTGGGTCCCGCTGGCCCCCACCTCCCCCACCTCCGCGCAGGGGCCCCAGACGCTCTGGGGCTGTCACAGTTTCCATTCCCGGCTGAGCAAGCTGAAGCTGCCTCCACTGCAGCTGTGGAGAGCGAGCGGGAGGCAGCCACGCACCTGGGAAGCTGCTCCCCTCCACCCAGCCCCAGGTCCAGGAGGAGACCCCTGCCGAGCTCTGGACCTCAGCCCCTCCTGTTCCACACAGGGGCTACGACCCGGCGCCAGCCATGGCCAAGTATGTCAAGGTCCTCTACGACTTCACAGCCCGGAATGCCAATGAACTGTCAGTGCTCAGGGATGAGGTCCTGGAGGTGAGTGGGGCCCCGCAGGAAGGGCCTGCCCAGGGGAGGCAGGGCAGTGGGCAGGCAGATTCACAACCCTGGGACTTGGCTCGTCTGCCACTCCTATCCCCAGGGCTCTACCCCTGGGCTCCCATCTGGATCCACAGCCTGCCCCCCAGCCCCAGCAGAGACTGGATGAAGAACCCCCTCCCTTGGAGGTTGCAGAGGGGGCACAGGGACTCCTGTGCTGGGTTCAGGACAGAGGATGGGTCCCCTCTCTGTGCCGACTAGGGGACCTTCCAACCCAGCAGGGGCTTGTGATTCATGCCCACCCCTAGAGTCCCCTCAAGGCACGCTCTGGGTTTGGTGCCAACCCCAAATCTGGGTCACCCACGGGGAGGAAAGTGGAGCGAGCTGAGCGGGGGATCTGTATCCAAGCCGAGCTGGAGACACCTCGCTCAGGGTGCAGCGGAGGGATGGCCCCAAAGGCGGGAAGGAAGGTAACAGGGCAGGTGGGACCGTTGCCCCGTGGCGGTGGGTGTGTGGCACATACAGGTGCTGGAAGATGACCAGCAGTGGTGGAAACTTCGCAGCCGCAGTGGCCAGGCCGGCTACGTGCCCCACAACATCCTGGTTGAGGCCCGGCCCGAAGATGTGGGCGCCCCCCTCGAGCAGGTGATGGGGGTGAGCGGTGGGGTCGAGGGGCTGAGGGGACAGGTGCACCAGTGGCAGGGAAAGACCCAGCTTGCGCCTGGGGTCCTCCCTGCAGGGGCTGGTCCCCGGGCCACTTGGGGGCCTGGACAGGTACTGGGAGGGGGAGAGGGAAGGGGTTCCGCACACTCTCCTTATTCTGTCCTTGCTGGAAGGGAAGATAAGAGACCCTGATGGGCCCTGTTCCCTGCCTCTTCCCCCCACCTGCAGGCTGGCCCGAAATACTGGGGTCCTGCCAGCCCCACCCACAAGCTGCCCCCAAGCTTCGCTGGAAATAAAGATGGTGAGTGGGGAAAGGTGGGGGTGTGCAGGGAGTGCAGAGCCACCTGGGGGGCGGGGAGGGGAGCCCTGGGGCGGAGCCGGGCTCAGGGCCTGAGCCGCTGGTCCCGCAGAGCTTATCCACCACATGGACGAGGTGAACGACGAGCTCATCAAGAAGATCAGCCACATCAAGGCGCAGCCTCAGCGTCACTTCCGCGTGGAGCGCAGCCAACCCGTGCGCCTGCCTCTCACCTACGAGTCGGGCCCCTTGGAGGTCCGCGCCTGGCTGGAAGCCAAGGCCTTTAGTTCGAGGTGAGTGGGCGGCACAGGCGGGCATGCAGGCGGCCGGCAGGGGGCCGCAGGTGCAGGCAGGTGTGCGAGGCTGCCGAGCCCGCCCCGCCCACTCCACGCCTGTCCATAGGATTGTGGACAATCTGGGCATCCTGACCGGGCCGCAGCTCTTCTCACTTAACAAAGACGAGCTGAAGAAAGTGTGTGGGGAAGAGGGCAGCCGCGTGTACAGCCAGCTCACCGTGCAGAAGGCCCTCCTGGAGGTGAGCCAGCGCCCCACCCAGCTGCGCCTGCCCCCCACCTGCTCCCTGGGGACCTGGTCTGCGCCCCGCACCCTGCGCCTACCCCCTCCTGCGTCTCCCCCCCCACACACACACATACATACACGCAGACCTGCTCCCTGGATACCTGGCCTGGGGGGTGCCTAGGCTGAGGATGCCCCATTTCTGTCCCCAGAAGCAGCAAGGTGGGTCGGAGCTGGAGGAACTCATGAACAAGTTTCATTCCAAGAACCAGAAGAGGATGGAGGACGACAGCTAGGCCGGCCCTGCTGGCCACTGTGCTGCGGTGGGAGCACTGAGTATTATTTTTGTATGTGTATATATTCTGGACCATGGACACAGCGGGGGTGTGGTGCCGACCCCAGGCCCTGCACCTGGCTGGGGGCCCGCTCACCTGCCTGTGGCACATGACCTGGCCCTAGCTCAGCAGTGCCCCACCCCACGCTCACCTGCTTGCTCCAGAGTCCACCTCAGCCAAACTTGTCACCTGGAGGTGCCAGCCCCCACCCACCTGTCTCCTGGAGCCGGAGCGATGGCCGTTCAGACGCAGCCAGCTCTCCCCACATCCCTCCCTGAGGCCACAGAACCCTGCTTTCCTCTGGCCTCCTCCATCCACATGGGGGTCCCCGGCACTGGAGACGACTCCTGTCCCACCACGTGACTGCTCACATTCACACCCACCTGTAACCCCACTCTCCTGGGTGGGCTGCAGGCCAGAAAGGCAGCAGACTCAGCTGCCCAGCCACCCTGGGCTCCGAGCCAACCAGGCTGATGACCCTTGCCCCGGCTGTGCCCACAGCGCCCTCCCCGAGCACTGCCCCCAGGGGGCCTGGGATGTGTGTGCTGAATTCCCTTCACCTTTTCAAGAAGCAAGTGTGGACTGGATGCACTGAGCACTGGCCTTGGACACCCCCCTCCCCCGAAGCACAGCCCCAGAAAGGAAATTTCTCTGACCTGCTCTCGGGTCAGCCTCGCCCTGCATGCTGTACAGGGGGCCTGGTGAGTCGTGGGGCCTGGACTCTGCTGGTTACACCCCAGAGCTGAGAGGTAGCCAAGTTCAAAGGCCCTGACATTAAACCACTGGTCTCCTAGCAGCCGTGTCTGCCTCCTGAGGGGAGGGTGGGGTCACTGTGGGTCCTGGGGAACCGCACCCTTCGTGAGAGCTCGGGGGCGGGGCAGGCTGTGGCCAGGCGGGCAGTGGAGGCCCCAAGTAAGGCTGCTCACCCCTGACCCTGGTGGGGGGCCTGGGAGAGCACCCCTGGGGACAGTGCTGGGAGGTGAGGGGTCGAGAGGGGTCCTGTCCCGAAGGCCCAAAGACTGTCACCCAAGACGAGTAGAGTGGTGGGAGCCATACCCGTGGGACCTCAGGTGGGTGGGAAAGGGGTGTGAGTCAGAGCGAGGCTGAAACCCGATTTGGAGAGCTAAGCTGAGGATGGGGTGGGGAAAGGGAGGGAGAGGGGCCGACGAGAGGGTGTGGGGCTGGCTGGACCGGCCTGACGGTCAGCTGGGGTGGCGTCAGCGCAGGAGCCAGCGGTCCCTGAGCGCAGACGGCTGCCCTCTGCACAGCGGAGGAGGCCGCTGGCGCCCTCTGCTGGCCACTCTGCGCGCGGCGGCGCGTGGCGGCCAGGGGGCGCCCCAACACCTGACTGGTTCTGGGGCCTCTTGACCTGCGTGGCCCCAGAGAAGCCGCGCACGAAGCCTAGGTCAGGGTGTGCAAAAGGCTCAGTCTTGGGGTCTCTGCCTGATGCATCGGGTGACCGCAGGGAGCTCGGATGCAGAGCGCAGGTTGAACCTGGCGGGGCTGAGGTGGGAGGGCTATCCTTTGGTTGGTGGACAATTAAAACAGGCCCAGCCCTGGTGGTGTGGCTCAGGGGTTGAGCGTCGACCCGTGCACCAAGGGTCGCCGGACGATTCCCAGTCAGGGCACATGCCCAGGTTGTGGGCCCGATCCCCAGTGAGGGGCGTGCAGGAGGCGGCCAATCGATGTTCTCTGTCATCAGTGTTTCTATATATCCCTCTCCCTTTCTCTCGAACATCAATAAAGAAAAAAAAAAAGGCCCGGTCCCCTGGTCTGGAAAGCCCCATGTAGCTGGGTCAGGCCACTGGGCCGAGTCTGCCCAGCAGGTCTCGGTCAAGGGAAGCTGGAGGCGTCTGTCTGGTGCTGTCAGTCTGGTGCCATCTGGGCCACCACTGGAACCTGACCACAACAGCCCCCTCGCCCCAAGAAAGAAAGGACCACCCCACACCCCCAGGCCAGAAAAGAAGTTCTGCCCTCCTGAGCCTGGACAGGACCGCAAAGAGAGAGAGATGGGCCCCCAGAGGAAAAGGGGAGGGATAGGGGCAATGTCCCTCCCCCTGGAAACCCACAGACCTCTCTACAGGTGCTCCGACCACCCCACCCCCCGCCCTACTAGGCTGAGTCCTTCCTCAGAGCGGGATGGGCACCCCTGGCTCCTCCTGCTCTGAATGGGGCCTCTGCTGGCCCAGGGATGCCAAACTAGAACCGGAGGTTAGGGCACTGCCCCAGTCCAGCCACCCCCACCCAGCAGGGCTGCCCCGTCACCAGCATGGTCTCGGCTTTAGGGACACTGCCTCTGGGCGGGGCTGCTTCTCTCTTCAGAGCCCCAGAACCTACGCCTGCTTCCTGGGTTCAAATGCGATTTGGCCTGATTCGAGTTTTAACCGCTCACCTCCTTGCCTCCCACTGCAGACTGGCCGAGTGGGGAAGGGGGAGGGGCTGATGGTGCCAGCCCAGTGGGGGCAGGGCTTCAGAAACACTGACCATGGGCGGAGGGGTGTCCATAGCTTGGGTAAGGGTGGAGCTGCCCGCCCAGTACCCACTCTATGCCCAGCTGTGCCCAGCAAATGTCCCAGGAACAAGGCCAGTCTCTGTCTTGGGGACAGGCTGTCTTTGTGCCCACCCCTTCAGCGTGGCTCTGTGCCCCCCCACGGTGGCCTTGGCCCCAGTGCACAGGCTGGCCCAACGGGGGACGGCTGCCTGTGCTGTTCAGGATGAGCTCCCCCCCCCTTTTTTTTATAAGAATAGTTTATTGATTTTTAGAGAGGAAGGGAAAGGGAGAGAGAAACATTGATGTGAGAGAGAAACATCAATCAGTTGCCCCGCCCCATGCATGTCTACCCCCTGGGGATTAAGTCTGCAACCGGGCAGGTGCCCTGACCAGGAATCGAACCGGCGACCCTTCAGTGCACAGGTTGATGCTCAACCAACCAAGCCACACTGGCCAGGCCTCCGTTTATTTTTATCCTCACCCGAGGACATTTTTCCATTTTTTGTTCAGATAGAGTGGGAGGGAGAGAGAGGAAGAGAAACATCGACGTGAAAGGGACACATCGAGTGGCTGCCACCCACACGACCCCAAGCAGGGCCGGGGACAAACTGCAACCAAGGTACATGCCCCCAGCGGGAACCGAACCCGGGTCTCTCTGGACTTCAGGCCGACGCTCTAACCGCTGAGCCAAACCGGCCAGGGCTCCTTTTTTGTTTTTAAAAGCTTTTTGCAAATTATTTTACACACCACGAGGTTAATGCACAGAATAGCACAGGAGGAGGAAATCCCTCGATCCCGTATTGAACTGCCGAGCACAGAGCAGCGGGACACACCAGCGGGAGGGACCCCCCGGGAGGGTGGCCCGGAGAAAATGGTCTGTGTTTGCAGAAACATCGGCGCTTCTGCCCCCCGAGGTGAACGAACGCCAGAGCTATTAGACTAAGGTGAGAGATGAGACCGTCCAGTTCACAGAGGAAAAGGTGGGCACTGCGGGACCTGACCAAGAGCTTCCCATACAAAACGCATGCATGAGTTTGACTTCATGGAAAGTAAGAGCTCGTGTCCACCCGAGGGCCACCGGTGGGCTGGCGGGAGCCGTCAGCGGTAGACTGTCCATGGTTAAACTGACCGGCAGACAGCAGCCCTCCAGCTGGGTCCTCAGGCCTCCGGGGGCCCGTGACCCTCTGAGCTCTCAACCAGTTTCACAACAAGACAGCTGTGTTATAGGTTGAATTGCGTCCCCCACAATGGATGTAAGAGAAAGTCATTAGGTTGGGCCCTGACCCAGCTCACTGCTGCTTAGAATAAGGAAGTCTGGACACATGCACACAGGGAGAACGTCCTGTGAAGATGGAGGCAGAGCCCGGCCCGTGTGGCTCCGTGGACTGAGCGTCGTCCCAGGGACTGAGAGGTCCCGGTTCGATTCCCAGTCAGGGCACATGCCCAGTTTCGGGCTCAATCCTCAGTAGGGGGCGTGCAGGAGGCAGCCGATCGATGTTTCTCTTGCACATCGATATTTCTCTCTCTCTCTCCCTTCCTCTCTCTCTAAAAAATCAATAAAAACGTATTTGAAAAAACGTTTGTTCTCTTTTATTTTTTGTTTTGTTTTGTTGTTGTTTTTATCCTCACTTGAGGACATTTTTCGATATTTTGTTCAGATAGAGTGAGAGGGAGAGTGAGAGAGAGAAACATCGACATGAAAGCGACACATCGAGTGGTTGCCACCCGCACAACCAACCAGGGCCGGGGACAAACTGCAACCGAGGTACGTGCCCTTAGTGGGAACCGAACCCGGGTCTCTCTGGACCACAGGCCGACGCTCTAACCGCTGACCCAAACCGGCCAGGGCCGTTTGTTCTCTTTTAAAGAGATTAATGGAGAAAATATCCTTGGGTGAGGATTTTAAAATAATAATTTAGCCCTGGCCGGTTTGGCTCAGCGATTAGAGCGTCGGCCTGCGGACCAGAGAGTCCTGGGTTCGGTTCCCACTAAGGGCATGTACCTTGGTTGCAGTTTGTTCCCGGCCCTGCTTGGGGCCGTGTGGGTGGCAACCAGTCCATGTGTCTCTCTCACATCGATGTTTCTCTCTCTCTTCCCCCCCTCTCTCCCTCCGGCTTTGTCTGAAGATAAATGCAAAAAAATGTCCTCAGGTGAGGATATAAACACAAAACAAATAAAATAATAATTTATTTTCACAGACATATGCTGTTTCCATGTTGAATGCGGGCTCTCCAAAATGCCGCCCAGTGACTTGGTGCTGTGTGGCCGCACCTCCCTTGAGGGTCTTAGTGGGCCTCGGGGTGGGCGGGAAGGCCGGCATGTGAGGCTTTGGGGTCTGGACTAGGCCTGAGTGGGACGCGGCCCGCTGGAGACGTTTGTTTGGGGTGGTGGGCACCTCGGGGTGGGGAGTGAGTTTAGAGCCACTGGGCTTGTTGAGTCTTTACCTACAGTCCTTGGCGACGGTCAGGAAGGTCCGGAAGCCAGGGGGCAGTGCAGCCTTGCTTCCTGGATGTGTCCTGGTCTGCGGCCAGCGGCCAGTGGCCAGCGGCGTGGCGTGTGGATTTGCGCAGTGGCCCGTCACTGTCCCTGTGAAGGCATGGGTACGTGCGTGTCAGTATCTGGTGTTGCTCCTACTGGTCGATATCGACAGAGGGAACCCACGTAAGCAAGTCCTTTGGGCCCTCAGTGACTTGTAAGTGTGTAAAGGTGTCCCGAGGCCCCAAAGTCTGAGACTGGCTGGTGTGGAACCTACAGCAACAACCCCTGCGGGTCAGCAGGGCTGAGCCAGGCAGGGGACGAGCCAGGCAGGGGACGAGCCAGGCAGGGGGCGCTTGGAGGGGACCTGCAGGCCCCACGGTTCTCCAGCGGGCATTCAGACCTGGTCATCAGAAAAGGGCA